ATTGAAAGTACTAGAGAATTACTTCAATCAAATTTTGGAAAAGAAATTATATATGAGGTAATTGCCTTTTTAATTTTTTTTTTTTTATTTGAAGTAATATTCTTGGTTAAAAGATGTAAAAATCTATTAAGAGGAAACTATCTCCCAAAGTCTACCATGTCAGCTTGTCATTATGTAACAAATTTTGGGGTGCGTTTTCTTATTGGTTGTTCAAATTAACACTCGTTTTAGTTTCTTCTTGTCTCTTGGATTGTCTGGCATTCTTAATTGTGTTAACATCATCAATTCATGACAGTATCTTGATCATAATGCAGGTTGCAACAAGTGGCTCCAGTGGCATTCTCTATCAAACTTTGAATGACAAGTTGAAGAACTTGCATGAGGCTATAGCATCACTTGCAACAGAGCCTAAATCGAAAGAATTTGAAGAGGAGCATGTCCTTGAAAACTTCCATTCTAGTCACACCATACAGAAACTAGTCTTAGATTGTCCTGAGTTTGCCTCAACATTATGGAAGAAAGCCTTTGAAGGGAAGTGTGAATCATGGGCCCAGGGTCACAGGTTAGGCTCATTTATTTTGTCCTTGCAATTATAATGTATGTAAAATACAAACAATGATTTAATCTTTGATGTTACAACATGGGCCCTTGTGCACTTATTGCAGTTCCAAGGTGCTTTGTGCATTCTAGGAAACTTTAGATTCCAAGGTCCATGAATTGGCAGAAGAAGAGTTGCAGCCTTTGATAGAGAACGGTGTTCTCAAAATCCCCGAAACTAAACAATCGGCAAATGAAGGTAGGTTTGCAAATTGTGGCAGAAAAAAACAAAGATTATAAGCTAGCCTGTTTTTCATGGTAATGTTATATAAGGTATGTATGTTATGTAAGGGCCTCATCTGGTGAGAATGCAGATTCCAATTATCATTAAGTAGATTTCCCTGGTAATGTTATATAAGGTATGTATGTTCTTGCAACCGTTACTTTATATGAACTTAAACTTTGTTTAGCTACTTCTAAGAACCCATTAATAGCTTATCTTTGTTGAGAAATGCTAAGAGAGGCTTGCTATCTATATTTTCTTTTACACTACCATTTCAACAATCTATGTTATTGATGGGTATTTGAATGGTTAATCGGGCTTCTAAGTGGATTTTTTTTTTTTTTTTTGTAGACAAGGAGATTGAGAAATTGGCAGCAAGGTCATTAGAAGTTAGAAGTTAGAAAGTGCCAAAGATCTAATTTCCAAAGGAGGGTACTCGATAACCTGCGTCCATTATGTTTAGATTCATCCTGGTTCACCAAAGGCACCCCCACAGAGGTAAATCAATCATGGGTGTATAGACAAGTCATTGACTTGATGGGATGCTTTGGAGTCACATTTGCATAGAATGGCCTTTTACTATTTATGCAAAGAAAGGGAAGATATTTACAAGAACAAAGTTATAGATTTGAATTTTAGATTGACTGCAATCACTAAAATTTAATCGCAATTTGTTTTTTTTTTCTTTAATCAACCTTTGTTGTGAATTTGTTGATCATTTATATTTTTTAACAGATTTGTGAGATTTGTTAGCACATCAGAAGTTCTTGAGAGATTTGTGACAGTAGAGAAAGAGATCGAGTAGATTAAGAGTTTAATTTTTAGTCAGATGAAGCTGCTGTGGCTACAGATGCAAATGGTATGTCTTTTTTTTCTTTTTTTGCTTCTCCTAATGATGCACCAATCATTGAACTGTACCATGGGATGATAAATGTGTTTGATAGAGAATGAGGAAGGTCAAAATTCCAGGGAAAAATATTCACAAGACTGCAAAAGTGGTTTTGTTTCCATTCCTCTGGATTATTGCTTTGTCAGATCTCATGAACATTGTCGGCTTAAATGATATGTCATGGTTGATGAAACGTAATTGGTAAATAGAAACTAATTACAAGATTTAAAAGGTCTTAATGTATATATATTTTATAATATTAAGTGCTATTTGATTGAGCTGAAACTTGTGAGGTTTGCATATGATATATCATTTCTTTGGTTACCCTTGAATTTCTTTCTACTGAATTGTAGGTTGTGGATGCTAATAGTGGGCAAGGTTTTTCCCCAATTAATCGTTCCTCTTCACGTTCAAGCCAACACCTTATGTCTTGCCAAAATGAAAGTAATGAAGAAAACGATGGGCAAAGGGATTGAAAGGCATGTTTGTATCTCTTCTTGGATCTGTAATTTCTACCACTAAGCATTTAATTGAACTTCTTTGGATTCTGCAATTTCTATTTTCGCTTAGATTTGTTGTTTTGAGATTGATTTATATCTATGGAATTCCTTTTTTATGATTGCTAATTTAGTGCATCAATTAACTGATTTTTTTTTTAATTTTATGGCCTTTTTTTATTGTGTTGAATAGTTTGATCTGCATAGACTAGCTTAACTTGAGCGGTTGTGTGCTTCGGTGGGATTGGTTGTGTGCTTTGGAGGGATTGATTCGTCCAAATGGTTAGGAAATTTCAAAGTTGTGTTTTTTTCTTTCCTGTTTGTGTGTAAATGGTTAGGGATTAATTAGTGCTTTGGAGGGATTGATTTTGTAGGTCAGAAAAATGGCATTAGTAATAAGTGCAGGAGAAAATGATAAAATAAAAGTAAATTATCAATTTAAAAAAAAAAAAAAAGGATCTATACCAACGGAATTGTTCATCTGTAAAGGTAAGGGTCTATACCCACAGCAAATTTTAAAAAATTTTTCAGGGTCTATACTGACGGAAGTTTTTTCCATCGGAATAGATCCCAAGGGTCTATACAGACGGATTGGGCGTCGGTATAGACCCTATACTGACGAGGTTTCTACCCACGGAAAGTTTGTCCGTCAGAATAGTTTTTGAGGTCTATACTGACAAAAAAAGGGTTTATACAAACGGAAAACTTCCGTCAATATAGGTACATTTGCTGGTAGTGGGCTGAGGAAGATGAGGACGATTTCAACCATTACGCTTTGGAGACACTGAGAATGATTGCAAGCACAAACAAGTTTTTAGAGAAAGTGTGTGTTGTGAGTGTAGGGCTAGGCAACAACTGGCTTAAAGAAATCTTGAACGTTATCTCAAGTTGAGGATAAGTATAGGAAGTAGCCAATCACCCTGAAATCAACCCTCAGCACATCAACATTGATTATTCATCCTAAGTTCCTAACTTTTGAATTTTCAACTACGCGTTTTTAGATTTTATGATGTGCTGGGAAATTTCATTCACACATAGAAGACATATCGATAAAGATCTCCCTTCTCTTGCTGCAATAATTTAGTGTTCTTTTCTATAAATGATTTATTAGTCTTGAATAGAATTAATTTAATATTTTTCAAATTAACATTTAAGCAAGCTCTTCTAGTTGTTTCTTCAAACCCACTGCTTGGTTGATTTGCGCACTAGAAAGTGAAGTAACAAGTGAAATTGCTTTGGGAATCGCAACCTCTATGATAGGGCTGAGGAAGATGAGGACGATTTCAACCATTACACTTTGGAGACATCGAGAATGACTGCAAGCACAAACAAGTTTTTCGAAAAAAATGTGTGTTGTTAGTGTAGGGCAAGGCAACAACTAGCTTAAGGAAATCTTGAATGTTATGTCGAGTTGAGGATAAGTATAGGAAGCAACCAGTCACGCTGAAATCAACCCTCAGCACATCAACATTGATTATTAATCCTACGTTCCTAGCTTTTGAATTTTCAACTACACGTTTTTAGATTTTATGATGTGTTGGGAAATTTTATTCCCACATAGAAGACACATCGATAAAGATCTCCATTGTCCTATTGTAATAATTCAGTGTTCTTTTTTGTAAATGATTTATTAGTCTTGAATATAATTAATTTAATTTTTTTCAAATTAATGTTTGAGTAAGCTCTTCTAGTTGCTTCTTCAAACCCACTACCTGGCAAATCTCCGCACCAACAAGTGAAGTAGCAAGTGAAATTGCTTTGGGAATCGCAACCTCTATGACGGGGCTGAGGAAGATGAGGACGATTTCAACCATTACGCTTTGGAGACACCGAGAATGATTGCAAGCACAAACAAGTTTTTAGAGAAAGTGTGTGTTGTGAGTGTAGGGCTGGGCAACAACTGGCTAAAGAAATCTTGAACGTTATCTCAAGTTGAGGATAAGTATAGGAAGCAGCTAATCACCCTGAAATCATCCCTTAGCACATCAACACTAATTATTAATCCTAAGCTCCTAACTTTTGAATTTTCAACTATACATTTTTAGATTTTATGATGTGTTGGGAAATTTCGTTCAGACATAGAAGACACATCGATAGAGATCTCCCTTGTCCTTTTGCAATAATTCAGTGTTCTTTTCTATAGATGATCTATTAGTCTTGAATAAAATTAATTTAATTTTTTTAAAATTAACGTTTGAGCAAGCTTCTCCAATTGCTTCTTCAAACCCATTGCCTAGCTTATCTGTGCACCAACAAGTGAAGTAGCAAGTGAAATTGCTTTGGGAATTGCAACCTCTATGATAGGGCTGAGCAAGATGAGGATGATTTTAGCCATTACGCTTTGGAGACATCGAGAATGACTGCAAGCACAAACAAGTTTTTAGAGAGAGTGCGTGTTATGAGTGTAAGGCAGGGCAGCAACTAGCTTAAAGAAATCTTGAACATTATCTTGAGCTAAGGATAAGTATAGCAAGTAGTCAGTCACCCTAAAATCAACCATCAGCACATCAACATTGATTATTAATCCTAAGTTCCTAACTTTTGAATTTTCAACTACGCATTTTTAGATTTTATGATGTGCTGTGAATTTGTTCACACATAGAAGACACATCAATAGAGATCTCCCTTGTCTTGTTGCAATAATTCAGTGTTCTTTTCTGTAAATGATTTATTAGTCTTGAATAGAAATGATTTAATTTTTTAAAAATTAATGTTTGAGCAAGCTCTTCTAGTTGCTTCTTCAAACCCACTGCTTAGCTGATCTATGCACCAGCAAGTGAAGTAGCAAGTGAAATGACTTTGGGAATCGCAGCCTCTATGACAAGGCTGAGGAAGATGAGGACAATTTCAGCCATTACACTTTGGAGACACCGAGAATGACTACAAGAACAAACAAGTTTTTAGAGAGAGTGTGTGTTGTGAGTGTAGGGTAAGGCAACAACTGGCTTAAAGAAATCTTAAACGTTAACTTGAGCTGAAGATAAGTATAAGAAGCAACCAGTCACCCTGAAATCAACCCTCAGCCCATCAACATTGATTATCAATCCTAAGTTCCTAACTTTTGAATTTTCAACTACACGTTTTTAGATTTTATGATGTGCTGGGAAATTTCTTTCACACATAGAAGACACATTGACAGAGATCTCCTTTGTCCTGTTGCAATAATTCAGTGTTCTTTTCTATAAATGATTTATTAGTCTTGAATATAATTAATTTAATTTTTTTCAAATTAACATTTGAGCATGCTCTTCTAGTTTTTTCTTCAAACTCATTGCCTAGCTGATTTGTGCACCAGCAAGTGAAGTAGCAAGTGAAATTGCTTTGGGAATCGCAACTTCTATGATAGGGCTGAGGAAGATGAGGACGATTTCAACCATTACGCTTTGGGGACATTGAGAATGACTACAAGCATAAACAAGTTTTTAGAGAGAGTGTGTGTTGTGAGTGGAGGGTAGAGTAGCAACTAGCTTAAAGAAATCTTACACGTTATCTTGAGTTGAGGATAAGTATAGGAAGCAGCCAACCACCCTGAAATCAACCCTCAGCACATCAACATTGATTATTAATCCTAAGTTCCTAACTTTTGAATTTTCCACTACGCATTTGTAGATTTGATGATGTGTTAGGAAATTTCGTTCACACACAGAAGACACATCAATAAAGATCTCCCTTGTCATGTTGCAATAATTTAGTGTTCTTTTCTATAAATGATTTATTAGTCTTGAATAGAATTAATTTAATTTTTTTTTCAAATTAATGTTTGAGCAAGCTCCCTTGGTTGCTTCTTTAAACCCACTGCCTAGCTGATCTGCACACAAACAAGTGAAGTAGCAAGTGAAATTGCTTTGGGAATTGCAGCCTCTATGACAAGGCTGAGGAAGATGAAGACGATTTTAGCCATTACACTTTGGAGACATCGAGAATGACTACAAGCACAAACAAGTTTTTAGAGAGAGTGTGTGTTATGAGTGTAAGGCATGGCAACAACTGGCTTAAAGAAATCTTGAACATTATCTTGTGCTGAGGATAAGTATAGGAAGCAGTCAGTCACCCTGAAGTCAACTCTCAGCACATCAACATTGATTATTAATTCTAAGTTCCTAACTTTTGAATTTTCAACTACGCGTTTTTAGATTTTATGATGCGTTGGGAAATTTCATTCACACATAGAAGACATATTGAAAGAGATCTCCCTTGTCTTGTTGCAATAATTCAATGTTCTTTTCTATAAATGATTGGCTAAATTTAACTTTTCATCTACTAACTATTATTCTATTTTCATTTTGGTCTAAATAGTTTAATTTTTTTCAAATTCATCTATAAACTATGAAAATTATTTCAGATTCATCTATCTAGCTAACTTCCGTTAGTTTTTTTTAATGGAATCTTATGACATGATTATGTGACCAGTTACGTGGCATATGCAATTTTGAAAAATTGTACTTCTTCCTCTCTTTTTTTTTTTTCATTTGTACATCTTAATAATGTTTTCATTTTTTTCATAGTGAGATTTTTTTCTTTTTTTATTATTTTTATTTTTGTAATAAATCTATATCTTTTAATTTTGATTAACAACTAAAAAAACCATCATTGTCATTATTAGAATGAAATTATATCATTTTCTTTTAATGTTAGTGCAAATTAGTTTTGATTCCT